AGGTTGAGAAACACTGGTCTATGTGAACAGGCAGGCCTTCATGGCCATCCAAAATGCCAAAATATAGAGTGGGAGTCACCTGGATCTTGGGGGGAAATCTCATCCAGAGGGCACGAGCTATGACAGAGAAGGGGCACTTCCAGGCTCCCAATAGATGGCATTGTTTAATTGAAGGAACTTGCAGTGCACAAACCCTGTCAGATCGAAATAACTGGACAGATACCACAGATTCTTGCTTTACTTCCTGCTCGGTGTGAATTATTTACTAAGCATTGAGCTTATTCTCATGCATGCTCTATTTTCATCACATACTTCTCCCAGCTATATTCAGCAACCAACCTTCAGCGCCATATTTGTACAAACATTGTGTTATTTAGGCCTAATCAGTTTATTATATACTTTCTCTAAATAAAATAATTTGCAATAAACTTTCTTTCTCACATTCGGACATTTCTCAGTGGCCTGCAGAAGATCAAAAACCTAATCTGCACATCTCCTGCCTAGCATAAAGAACAACTGCACACCCCAAGTGTTGCTCATTGACACCAATCATATTGGTCCCATTGGAATTCTGCCAAATGCTTTCCCATGCCCACTTATCAAATTAATTTTTTTAGTTTTTTATATTTCTTCTTATTATCATTCCCTTTGATGAAGTTTGTAGACCATAGAAGAACAATAACTACATTTTCCAATTGACAGCACAAATGTAATATTTACACGCGTTAAGCAACTCACACAACTACCAAACTTAGTTTAGTATTTATTCAGGTATACCACCTATATCTTCAGCATTACAATTTTTTTAATATACATCACAGCATTTATTATTTTCTTTATCAATATGTTTTTACATGAATGTTAACAGCATTTACAGTATCTCACAACAGCATATCAACATCATCCCCTTATAAATGCTAAAATACTCCTTCTAGCATTATCTCACTTGATTTTCATCCTAAATCATTTCATTCAATTTTTCTTAATTCCACTCATTCTACTGGAATTCCTTGTTGGTCCTTAGCTATTTCTGAAACAATTGTTTATTTGTATAATAATTGCTGCACATTGTCTCAGTGTTTTTTAATTTTAACCATTCTTTGCTCTCTGTGCAGCCATCTTTTTTTGCTATATACACATTATACAATATCCTTTTTCCATATTTGCAATTTCCATTTTGCTCTGCAAAAATAGTATATTTTAGTATTTTTTTTCATGCTGGACTCTCTTCCTGAAGTCATGCCGAAGTAATTTCACTCTGGTTCTTTCAAGTTTCCTTATCTTCCATGTCCATTTCTGTTAAGATCCATTTTTGATATTATCAAATAATGATCTATCTCCCATTCAGAACCTTCTACATTATATCTGTCAGGCACGGAACAACCAGATCCACCTGTCAAGAATTCAGTTGTTTTATTACTCAAGTCAAACTTATCTTGAGCAATCTTCTCAAACCCAAGTTGGCACCTGGGTAATACTAGATAAGGTTCAACGGCATGCAGTGGGGGTCATACTTCACCTTTTGCCCACATAGGGATTCCAGACTAATTTCCCATTAGACTTCTCCACTTGGCTCAGACAGTCATTCTCTTTCCAACAATATCCTTCATTATTAATAACTTAATCTTTTTATCATAAATAAACCAATCATATTTTAATTAAGTCCTTTTCTGTGTATAGATATGAATGGTTTAAAGCAGTGCTTCTCAACCTTGACAATTTTAAGGCATGTGGACTTCAGTTCCCAGAATTCCACAGCCAGCAATGCTGGCTGTGGAATTCTGGGAGTTGAAGTCCACATGCCTTAAAATTGTCAAGGTTGAGAAACACTGCTTTAAAGGGAGAAAGGCATCCAATTAAATGCTACAGTACTGCTAGTTAATGTAGATCCTTGATATATACTGGAATATAATGCTGAATACAAATACACTTCATTTCTTCTTTAAGCAGATTGTGTTATTGACTTTGTTATTTCCTAAATATAGTTACAATAGAAGAGAATATCTGTAGCTCAAGGTTGGAGTTTTTGGTGCGCTCTGAGCTTGTTTGTTTGCTTGCAGATGTTTCATTATCCAACTAGGCAATATCATCCATGCGGGTGAGTATGGGGTTTGATGCCAATGAATAGCATATAGTATATACAGTATACTATATGTATTAGCTTGCCCTACCAGTTTTGATGGGAGTGTGGTTTCCTTGATTGATTGGAATATTGTTTTCTGCTTTAATGTTTGTCTAGTGTTAATCCCTGCATATCTGAAAGTTGACGGATAACAAACATACTCGGTATGTTTGCCTGTGCTGCTCTGTGAAATATAAATATATGCTATCATTAATTCCCCCCTCTTTCTGTATAGTATTTAGGATGTACCTGCTTATGGGATACCTATCTTGCCTACTCCAGGAATCACAGTTTAAGTTTAAAACAAGCAAACAAAGCTTATTATCCTCTTTTTGAACAATTCTAATAAATTCCTGGCCTTGTGCTATGAAGCTTTCTAAGACTTTGGTAAAGAAAATTGAATTAGACAGTAATATGTTGCAGAGTGAAACCAGATTATTCATCTAGTGAGCTAAAATAAAGATGATGATGACACCCAGAAGCAGCACTCAGGAAATAGAATATTTACACAGAAATTGTTTGCATTTTTCCCTCTGGTTTTCATTGCTTTTAAAGAAACATCCAGACCACACGCGGCAGATAGTTCTTCCATGCTGAAGGAGTATGCATTTTTTTAAAAACTATAAAAATGAATTGCCATGTGTTCATGTTGAATACATGTAATTGCACGGCCTTTGACATTTAAACCTACGATTACAAAAAGGGAGGGGGGTTTAAAAATGTCTCATTTGATCAACTCATGCTTTTACCTATGAGAGATCATATCACAGCTAAGTGAATTTAAGTCTGTGGGAGAGAGAATTGTACCGTTAAACAGCCACAGTTTGACTGTTGGCTTTCAGCTCCCTCATCAAGAGTTTGCTTTTCCAGAAGCAGGGGCAAACTGCAATTCATATTTTAAACTCACAGTGTAGATTTTTATTTTATTTTATTTTACAGGTTTTAAAAAATAAGCAGATAGGCCGATTTTACTCTGGGTTATTATTATATTATATTAATATTAATATGACGTTTACACACAACACAAATCTACCATCTGTCTGCCTGTCCGCCTTGATTTCCTTTATTTTGCCTGAAAGCTGTGTTGGAGACTTACACCATATCATAAGAGGGCATGGTACAAGCGTAGAATGTTTTCCTCCTCCCCCTTTCCTTGTACATTTTTACAGCCCAGTGGCAACAAAGAAAAAAGCATTTATAGAAAAAACAAACAGTAACCTAGATTGTGCTTTGAACGTTGATTCCCGCAAGGCTGCACTCCAGCAGAAGCGGAAAAGCAGAATGGCCATCTTTGACTTAGCCCAGAGGTAGGCAACCTTGGCTCTTTTATGACTCGTGGACTTCAACTCCCGCTGGCTCAGGAATTCTGGGAGTTGAAGTCCACGAGTCATAAAAGAGCCAAGGTTGCCTACCCCTGAACTTTTGATCGTTCTTTTGCTTTCATGAGCTCATCCTTAGAAATGTTCAGATCTGTCTAAGGCTGTAGGATTGTACCTTGGAGTAAGTCTCATTGAGGCACATCATGCTTCTCCAAGTAGACTTTCATGGAATTACATAGTTCAGAAAACAAAAAGATCTGGCACAGAGTTCCAGTCTTCCCCAGAAATAGTTTGCAGGCTCTCCAGTTCAGACTCTATATCTGGAGGCTGAATAATTAGATATCTTATTTCACTCAACAGTTTGAACAATGTAGCTGAGTAGTTTCTGCTCTCAGCTTTATTTTTAAGCCGCATGCTTTTTTAGAGAGCTGTATTTACTTAGTTTTTCATTGCCTGTAACTACTTATTAAAAAATACAGTCCACGGGACTGCAATCCTTCCAATTTCATTTGCAAGTGATATTGTGAAGATTTTTTTTTTAAAAAAAGCTCTTGCTGAGCCCAAAAAGTCAGCTGCAACCTATGGCTGTTGAACAGATGGAATGTGCCATTCTCCATTATTAAAATTAGTCTGCAAATATAGTAGTATGATTGGCTTACAGTAAAGATGGTCATGTGGTGGGGTTGTGTATATGCATGCAGATGTACAGCCTTAGGCATTTTTATAAAAGAGGTTAAGATTTTCAGATGCTTCCCTATAAATTTAAAATGAATGAAACACTTCAAGCATTTTAATTATGCTATTTTCTGCATTGTGTCTTGTTCTGTCATTACTAATATTTACAGATAATGCTATAGTTTTATAATGCCCAACTCCCAGCAACACTGTCAGTGATGAATATGAAATTCAGAATAATTCATTCAGGGTTTTTTTTTTTTTGTATCTCAATATAGCACTTTGCTGTGGTGATTGTGTGGATCTATCTGAAGAAAAACATAGCTTTGGGTTTTTTGCTTGATTTGTTTCTTAAATGTAATTAAAACAGGACAAAATCAAAGTAAAGCACATTGATTTTAAGTAGTGTGAAAACCAAACTTCGGCATGTATGATAACCTAAAATAAGATTTTTTAAAAAATATGTGGAATAATTTATTACAAAACAATTCTTTCAGTTGGTACTGTAAAACATGGAAAGATGGCTTCGTAAGAATCACTAGTAGATTTATTTATTTGGCAAATTTATATAATAATCTGTGGTTGATTACAACAGTGGAGCAAAATGCTGTTCTCTCAATTTTTTTGTAATCCTCATTCTGCATTTCAACATTCAACATAACCTGGAAAGGAATTAGACTTTCTTTAGCTGAGGCTTTCCTTTCATTTTGCTAAAGATGCAGTATTAGTTCTCTTTCTCTCTCTCTCTCTCTCTCTCTCTCTCTCTCTCTCTCTCTCTCTCTCTCTGAGACACAGAGACTGAGAGAGAGATTCAAGTTGGTCTATGAACAGTGACCAAAAAACCCCCGCCCAAATTACCCTACAATTCTATTTTTTTCTTTTTATTTTCCATAGGATTTTCTACAAGGCGATTGTACCAAAGCAAAGCAGAAACTCAATTGGAAACCCAGTGTCACTTTTGACGTAAGTTCTGTTTTTTTTTTCTCCAAACACTTTATTGAAGACCACTTTTAGAAACAACCCCCCCCCAGTTTTTAATTTATAAATATCTAACTCAACAAAAACCAAAGTGATCCTACAAAAGAACAGTTCAAGAACATAAGTGAAAAGGCATCCTGTAATTCTTCAACTTTTACTGTGATGAGACTAATTTAATTATTCTAAGCAATCAGTGGATAGTAACCGACCACAGAAATAAACATTTTTGTATGTTAAAAATGTATGTTCTACATTTTCCCAAATACATCTTTCAGATTGAATGTTACAACTTGGTGCTGTATTCCTAAAAAAAGAAAAAGAAAAAGAAACTTAGCTCTGAAAGGAAAGTGAAAGGGTATAATTCAACAAATGAAAAACAAATGTGTATTTCACGGCTGCAGTTATCAGTCCAATTTTTTAAATTTATTTTTGGTTGTTTGCAGCCAACAGTCCAAATTTTTACCCAGTCTGGTGATAAAAGGACCTTAATCTAGTTACTGCCCTTTAATAAAGTAAGTGCTAGAACTTGCATCCTAATTATAATACCTCTAATTCTCATCCTAGGAACTTTATGAATACAGTGTTTCAGAAAGCACTTGGGTTTGCAATCCAATTAGGAGAGAAAAAAAAATAAGTACAGTGATTGTGGGAGGTGAAGAGGTCACAAATTTAATAGGTTTACTCTAAATAGTCAGACCGTTTTCTCTAACTTAGTCTGAACTGAGCGTCTAACACTTGTTTATGTATGTCTCTTTCCCTTCTCACAGGAGCTGGTGAATGAGATGGTGAAAGCAGATGTGGAGCTGATGAGAAACAACCCCAATGCTTGAATCTGCCCCTCTTTCTCTACCTGCCCCATCAGATTTAACTGAAGCTCCCCGGATGAAGCCTAACGATGAATCATCCAGAAGACATTGGTGGGGCTGGAGATGCTAAGCTTCAACTTTAGATGATTTGTTGCTGCGGTTTTATTTCCCTCTGCTTTCTGCAATGGATCCCTTTTTCTTTTTTCCAAATTGGAATCCTGAAAATCATGCTTTTTTTTTTATGTTCCTTTCTGAGGGGGAGATTGAAGCAGGGAGGACAATTTGCAGCATATAATCAGAATTGATCTTGTAATTTCAGAACATTTTCTTTTGATAGTAAAAAATATATTTCCATAAACGCTTTCTCCATTTTGAATGGGAAGTATAAATGCTGTGTATTTCCCCTCCCCAAGTCTTTTACAGATACAGCCTAAAAGGGGGGGGGGGGATAGTGAAATATATTCATTGTTTCCCAATATATTCAGACTAAATTCTGAAGATATCTTCAGATTAATAAACTCATTCAGAACGAGGTTTGATGTAAAATATATCGCAAAATATATCGCACACACGAGCCTTACACAGATTACGTACAGTTTAAACATCTATATGTGCAAAGGGGAATTACAGAGGATGTGATTTATTCAGTGTTACTTCTAAAGTAGTATTTTTGGAATGTTCCAGTGAGGTTATTTGTTTCAAGGAGCAAAGAAACACGAACAGAGAATTTGATTTCTCCCACTAAGCCCATTGCCGTCCTGAAAAGTTTGCCCTTCCTGCAGTTGTATGTGGTAGGGAGAGCTAGGGCAATTAGCACCTAATTCTTGCATATCTACATATTACTATATACACCCCATTCTGTTTCTGCTTGCTATAATTAGCCACGTAGGAGCTTAGAGCCTCTAAGGATGGCCTTAAAAAGGAGAGAGAAATCCAGAGTTCAAAACGAATGTTCACTTTTTGGTGCAAATGTATCTAATTGAAGAGAAGGGGGAATCCCATAAATTTGTTTTCCAGTGGTGTCTTCCAGCTAACAATCCCTAGATCCTCAAGTTGCCCGCAATTCCAACGGGGGGGAGGGGGGGGGTCGAGGTCGCCTTTCACACTGGTAGCCTAGAATGTATTACAGCAAAGCAAAAGGCGAAACGGGCCCGGGTGAATTTCCAACGTAGCCTGAAACCTATTAAGATGTTGCAAAACGCGTGAAAATGAAGGTACACACACACACACACACACACACGAGACGGAGACGGGCCGCTCTTCCCGCGTGCGAGCCGAAGGAGAGCAGCCCGGCTTGGGGGCCGACCCGGACTGCTGCCCAGAAGGGCGAGGAGGGCTCACCGGGGCGGCGGCTCCCAATTGGGACCAGATGTTTCCGCAAGGCAGGCCCCGTCTCGCTACCCGTCTCGCAGGTGGAAGGAAGGAAGGGGACCCGGCAGAACCGGAGCTCTGGCTCCTCAGGCGAGAGCGAGCAGCAGCCCCCTCTGGGCTTGCCAGGGCGGGTGGGGGTGTCCCCGTCCCAGACCCGGCTGGCCTTTCGGGTTGGTCTTCGCCTGCAAGGAAGGCTTAACGGCCTCAGGATCGCCCGCCAAAGGGACCCCTGCAAAAGCGAAAAGAGACAGAGAGACGACGCAATCCGGCCAGATTCCCCAAGCGGAGAAAAGGGACCCCCGATACTTTTGCCCCCCTTCTCCCCCCCGCGGGGGGGGGTCAAAATGCTTGGGCGGCCCTGCTTTCCTCCTCTTCCTCCCCCCTCCTCTTCTTCATCTTCCTCCTCTTCCTCTTCTTCCTCCTCCCTCTTCTTCCCGTTCCTCTTCCTCTTCTTCCTCCTCCCTCTTCTTCCTCTTCCTCTTCCTCCTCCTCTTCCCCTTCCTCCTCCTCTTTGGGCCGCTTGCCTCTTCGGTTCCTTCGGCGCCTTCCCGGGGGTCGACTGGAAGTCCAGTCAGCTCGGTGCTACCCCTCGCCAGGGCACCTCAAAGCCTGCAGTTCCCAACCGGGTCAGCTGGCAGGAGGCCGGCGGAAAAGCCACCTTTGCCGCTTGGCCAGCCCTCTCCCCTCCCCGCTTCCTGATCGCCGACCTGGCCGAAGGGTTTTGGGGGGGAAGCACCGACGGTCCGCGAGGCCCCCTCTATTCCCCCCCTCTCTCTCTCTCTGCCTAAGCTGCGCAGGGCATCTAGATGCGTTGCACGGCAAGCCGCCCTAGTCGCCACCCCGCCTCTCCGTGTAACGGGGACCGCAGGAAGCGAATTTCGCTCCCGATATAAAGCAAACTGAGAAGGAAGGGACTGTTCTGTTTGCGGGGGGAGCCACCACCCGCGGGGCAGCCCTAGATGCGGCGCCTCGGAGATTCGGGGCTGAAATCCCGGCCGTCAACGCCGCCTGCGCCGGTTGCCTAGTCTGGGCGAGATGGGGCTGCCGGAGAAGCGAAGAAACCAGCCGCGGTCGGACCGGCCAGTAAAACTGCTGCGCCTGACGAGAGAGGTGAAGCTTAACTGCGACGGCGCCTTAACTCTTAAGAAAACCAGGCGCAGAAAAAGGGGCCTCGCCTTCAGGCAGCGCTAGCCCGTCTTGGGGGGCAGGAGGGCTTGCCATAAAACGCGGTTCCATCGCCTTATATTTTTCTATTCCAAGTGCAAATGTCAAGCCAGGTCTTCATTGCAACTGGCCTCTGCAGCGCTCTGGTTATGCCTATTCCTTCCCCCTCCCCACCCCACCCCACCCGCTCTCCAGATACATCGTGGGGTTTTGCTTCGACCAAACGGCGCGGAGGCGCCCTGTCTCTAAGCGGAGCTTAGTGGAGGACAAGAAAGAGCCGCCCTTCATCCCATCCAAACCGGGACTTCATCCCGGCCGCTGGCCGAGATGCCCTCGGCTGTCCCCGGCTCCTTCCCAGCCCCGATAGGAAAGTCTTAACGGGTCTGATGTGCCCAACCCTCCCCCCCCCCCACGGGATGTGCCGGAGGCTCTTGCACCGCCCGCGGGACCAGGAAGCTGCCAGATGGAGGTTCATAGCTGGGACGGGCTCCATCTTCGGTTTACTCGGCCGCCGCCGGTGCCAAAACGATACGCACCCCGCCAGACAGGGCAAACCCCCGAAATGAACGTTGGAGGGGAAGGGAGAGGCTCTGGCTGGGATTAGCTGGTCTCTTTCCCGCAGGGTGGGGTGCTCCGCCCGCCCGCCGGAGGAACAGTTTGTTCCCCGGGTGCTTTTGTGGGCCGCTCTTCCAAAGGCGGAGGATGAGGAAGGCTGCCTTGCACAATCCAGAAGTCCCACAAAATGCCCAAATGGCCTTCCATCCCGCCCATCTGAACTGAGGCCTTGTCTGGCAACAGGATTCTCCAATCGCCTGGCCTTCCTTCTTCTCCTCCAAGCGCCTCTCTTCGCTGGCCTGGTTAGATCTCTTGCTTTCGGGGTTGGAACCCCCACCCCACCCCTCCCGGGCTTTCAATAAATGTAACAGAAGGCGGCGGGGGCGAATGAAAAACAAAAAACCCCAAGGAGACGCTTCCTGTAGAAGACAACCCTGAAGCACCTATTCCTCGACGGGCATCCTTTCCTGACGCCTTGGACTACAGTTTCCATCAATCGCAGCAAGCCTAGGGGCGAATGAGTTTCCCACATCTAGATGACGCGCCCGGGCAGAAGAGGGGGGGGGCACAGCTGCCCTACAAGATTCCTGGAAACCAAAGGGGGGGGGGAAGAGAGACTAAGAGGCTGCTACTATGACTCCCCCTCCCCAACCACAGAAGAACAAGCCTGGCGCTGTTTGCTTCAGTTTAGTCGAGGTTGCAAAATAACGGAGCAGCCTTGCTTTATCCTCGAGAATGATGAAAAAGAGGCGCGGTGTTGTGACAAATACTGGGAGGCACAAGTGGCCTTCTCTCCCTCTCTCTCTCACACACACACACCACTCTCTCTCTCACACACACACACACACACACACACACACACAGAGAGAGAGAGAGAGCTGGCCTGCTCTACTCGTACTTCCCCGCCTTGTCTGCAGAAAGTCTTGGTTTAGTAGCGCTACCCGGGAGACTTACCGCATCATTTTAAAGGGTGATATTCGACACCTGCCCGCTCGCCCTCACCCCTAAACTGAAACTAATAGGTGATTAGGAAGGAGTCTGGAGGCCCCCGGGACGGACGGGTGAGACGGATGGATTTTCGGAAGCATGAGATCAACCTTGCCGGTCGCCTCCTTTCTCCCGGTCGGTCGGAAAGACAAAACGAAAGCCGGTCCCGCAGACAGAGCAGGGGGTCACTTTTAACGCAGTCGTAGACATCTCTAAAGGTCAGGACTGGAGAGCTTAGGACCCTGGAAAAAAAAAGAGAGAAAGAAATCAAGTTTCCCCAAGTGAACGCCTTGCCCGCCTGTCTTTAGGAATCTGCCAAGGCTGCCTTGTTTCCCGACAAGGCAGAGCCAGAGTCTCCCCTCGCCCCAGCTCGAACTCACGCCCTCGCTCCGGATTCCGCTCGGGGCCAAGTTGGCATCATTGACCGGATTCCGGATTCAGCCCCGGGCTCCGCGGAAAGGGCCCGGTTCCTGCCCCTCTCTTAACCTCACCCGCGCTTGTGAGCTAAAACTAAGCCGGCTGAAGGGGCAACGGGGGCCCGTTACCTTCTCCGCAGCAGTGAAAAGGGTGCGCAGGAGTGGGACGTTCGCGAGAGGGCAGAAATGCCCGCTTCCTAAAACGGGCGGGTCGCCGGTCTCCAGACACAACAAAGCCCCAAACAGGCCGACGTCGCCGCGTTTTGACTGGCTCGGAAAAGCCAAACCAGAGCGAGCTGGAGACCCTCGGCAGCCGTATGGGAGGGGCAGCGCGCGGCCAGTGGCAAAGGGAAGGGCGAAAGGGGATCCATGGGTCGAGGCTCCTTCGCGGCAAGAAAGAAAAAAGAGAAAAGAAAAGAAAAGAAAAGAAAGAAGGAAGGAAGGAAGGAAGGAAGGAAGGGAAAGAAAGAAAGAAAGAAAGAAAGAAAGAAAGAAAGAAAGAAAGAAAGAAAGAGAAGGAAGGAAAGGAAAGGAAAGGAAGAAAGGAAGGAAAGAAAGAAAGAAAGAAAGAAAGAAAGAAAGAAAGAAAGAAAGAAAGAAAGAAAGAAAGAAAGAAAGAAAGAAAGAAAGAAAGATGATGTTTAGCAATGGCTTAGAACGCAGCAGCGGAAAGTTCATTTTGAATGAAATGAATTTTCTCGCTTAAAACGTTTGTGTATAGGACAGCCCCCTTCAGCCTTTTATTGCTGTTCGCCTCTTCTAATTAGCTAAATAAATTAAACTACAGAAACAGAAATCAGAATATCTAAGAGAAGACAGCCAGTTTTGCAGACTACGGCTTTGCTTTTGTTTGTTTGTTTTAACATTCAAACTTGGAATTCTCAGGGATGTTTATGATTTCTCTAAAGTAACCTTCTTTTATTCATTGGTCTTTCCAGAGCAATTCTCCATGAGATTAGCCAAGTCAATACATTTACTTTTAGACTTATTCCCCAATAGGTAAACTTAGGCAGTTTTTTTTATTTAAAGAATAATCCTCAATTAAACAATGTTTTCAATGTTCCACACTGGATCTAATATATCATCATATAATATATACCACCACCATTTAAAATATTTAATGTACTCAGGTTTATCTCAACCATGCCACTGAAAGTAGATTGCATTGAAATCAACAGGAAGTGTGCATAGAATTTGCAATCTTCAAGGCAAGAATTTAGAGGCACCAGCAAAGAAAGGGACAAAAAAAGTCAAGTCAAATCATGCAATCAAAATTATGAAAGTAAAAAAATGGTAGCCACCATTTTAACTTTTTTGACCCCTTCCCTGCAGACATCTATGGAGGATGCTAACGCCTTCCCTGCATCTCCTTTTCCACTGTGTATTTCTGAAAACTTCTTCAGATTGCCACTTAGGGTCCTAGATCTGTTTATTGGGATTTATTCTAGGGGTTAGTGAGTATAAAGGGCTGTAATTTCGACCCACTTTGTGTATTGTCTAAATCACAGAGGATGCAAAGCCAACCCTTTGTTCCCATGGGAGAAAAGTGCCACTGAGGATGCTTTTGGGTCTTTTAAAACGCATCTCTCAAAATGGGAATTTTTTTAAAGAGGGTTTTTGCTCGTTATCCTCTGCTACCTTGCAGCCCTTCTTATCCATCCAGATCCACAGGCAGGCTTACTTCAGCGCAGGCGCAACTTCGCTGCCCCGCGGAGACTGAATCGCTGCAAAGGAGTGGGTTTTCCTGGCAGGAGGTGGAAACCGGGAAAGGCAGAAATTCTGCCAATTTAAAAAAGCAGTTGAGAGCAATGAGGGCGGCGGGCTTTCTTCGGGGGCAGGGGCCGCACATCAAGCGCGGCTCTTGGCCCGCCCCATCTGCCTCCCGCGGAGCCAAAGGTGAAAGGCTCCAGCAGGTAAAGGTTGCTCTGGGCCTCACAAGCGGTTCTCCTTTCTGCCCACCCAAGTTGAAACAAATCTGTTTGTTAAAGGGGGGGGGGGGCGGTGGATCGAGAAAGGGAAGAAATCCTCCATTCCCAAAGAAAGACGCTTGGCAGTCAAAGAAAGGAAGACAAAAAAACATTAGTTCGCCTGCGTTTCTTGCTCTCTCTCTCTCTCTCTCTCCTCCCACACAACGGCTGCAAAGGCCTCCCTTGGCCACTTAACTCTGCAGGCGCAAGAACCCAAGGAAAAAAAAGCCTCCCGTCGGCAGACAAGCAAGTTTTCGCAGGAGAGCGGCCGACTTGGGGCAGAGGGAGAGGGAGAGAGAGAGAGAAAGAGGGACAGAGAGGGCGCCAAGGAAGACCGGGAGCAGGAAGAAGCGCGCATTTGCTTGGAGAGGTCTTCAGCTTCCCTGGAAGTCCGGGGTCCCGGCAATTGGGCTTGAAAGGATGTTCGGGGGCCGCCTCCGGGCCTTCTCCTTTCCTGAGCCGGTTTTCCGTGTTAGTAGCCACTAACTCAATCTGCTAGCAAACAGCTATTGGGTCTTGGAAAAAGAAAAAAAAAGAACCCAAGAAAACACAAACGAAAATCTTGGGCCAAGCGGGGGCGGAAGGCCTGCTTTGAAAGAAGCGGGGAGGCGTCTGGGAACATTTGGGACAAAGAAGTGGCATCAGCTTTCCGACTTACAACTAGGAAGTGAGTCTCGTCGCAGCCACTAGGGCGAGAGTCTGATGACATACGTCCAAAGGGGCCCCCTGAAGCAAGCTTCGGGCATCCTACAAGTGGCCAAACTAGTGGGCAGCGGACCTACATTCTGGAATTGGCTCATCCTTCCAAAGAATTGCTCTGAAATGACTTTGGTGGCACGCAGCTAATGCAGCAATTTTTTTTTTTTTAGACTTCTAAACGCTCCCCCAACATTCTTCATCTGGTTATTAAATCTGGATTCAAACTATAACCTTAGCATACACTAAAACCAGCTGTTTGGGTTCACACGACGCGAAGGAGTCTGCTATTCCCAGCAGCCGGGCTTGTCGGCGATCTGGTTCAGAGCGTCGTTTGGCTTCAATTCCCCAGGCCAGGGGTAGGCAACCTTGGCTCTTTTATGACCCATGGACTTCAACTCCCTGTGCTGGCTAAGGAATTCTGGGAGTTGAAGTCCATGAGTCATAAATTGCCTACCCCTGCCCCAGGCCAAGGAAGCGGCCCAGGCCTTCAGACAGGACAGGGCCACCTTCTAGGCTGGCCGATGTTCTTTTGCCTTCTCTCCCTTCTAGTTGGGGCTAAGTGCAATCGCGAAGGGGGAGAGAACGGGAGGGGGGCGAGGAAAATAACAAAACATTTTCGCCAATAAAAACCCTCTTTAATAGGAAAGCGGTAACTCGAGTTGGCTGCTGCTCTTCTCAGCACGTCTAATAAGCTGCTTTCGCTTTTCGAAGCTCGCAATTAATGTCTGGCTGCGTTTTGCACCTTTGCCGGGGAGAAGGACTGCCTGCCCTGAACGTGGGGGGAGGAGGGGCGCTTCCCAGGACCCCCCCCCCGGGAGAAGGCTGGGAGGTTCTTGGCCATTAGGCGCCCAATTCCCTTCCTCTCCTCTGGCTTTCTCTTCTGCAAGGGGCCGCGAGGGCCAATCTTCCTCTCGGGATCCTCGCTGGAATTCTTGGGGCATTTTTCTCGGGTGACGCCGAGAGATTTGCCAACCGGGTGTCTTTGCGCGCCCTTCGACTCCCTAGCGGCTGCGGAGGCCACCTCCCTGCGCAGACGACGAGAAGGAACCGACGAGAATAACCGGTTTCGGTCGAAGTAGACCCATTCTTGGCATTTCTTTTCCACGACGCGCAAACCCGTGTACGTGCCTGGGTTCCCCCACTCCTCTTCAGAAGTTTGTTCTGGAGGAAGAGCCAGGAGGTTTGGGGGAGACTTATGGAATACGTTGAAATGTGGCTGGGGAGAGGCGAAGAGCGCCCCCACTTCCCCTTTGTCGCCAGTCTTGCGAGCCAGGAGACTGTGTGGCTCCCTAAATCCACTTCTTGGGAAATAGATCCCCTTTCGGCAGGGACACCCGCGCGTCCCGGATGTTAAAGCTTCTTCGCCATTTCTCTTTCCCCACCTCCCGCATTTCTCCCTTTGGCAGTATCTGGTTCTGCGGTCTTTGAATGCGGTTAAACTTAGATTCTGCTTTTTATCTGCTTGCGGCCTTTCCCTCTTCCTGCCTACCCGTCCCCCCCTTCCCAGTCCTCCTTGCTGGGCTCCTGCGTCTGCGCCACTTATGAATCTGACTTAAGTGAGTCAAGGCCGATCGCTCCGGCCCTGCCACGGGGGTTGCTGCAGAAGCACGTCTCCGGGCGCGCCCTTTCCCCCTCCTAAGTTTCACCGTTCCTTCTCCCTCAGGAGACTTTCAGCTATCGGTTCATTAAATGAGATTAATGGCCAGAAAACCCTGTCTCTCTCGCGCTCCCTGATAGGCCGCAGATGGGAGCCATCCTGGCCTGGCCTGGTCTGGTCTCCGGCAAACTCGCTTCTGAGCGAGCGCCGGTCCTTTTTCTGACTTGCTGTTAGGACAGGGAAGAAATCGTCGGTCTCCAGCACCCCCTAAACCTGGCCCAGAAGCGAAGCAGGGACCTCTCCTCGTGGAAAGAAAGGGCACTCGGCCTAGCCTAGGGGTCGGCAACCTTGGTTCTTTTATGGCTGGCTCAGGAATTCTGGGAGTTGAAGTCTACGAGTCATAAAAAGAGCCAAGGTTGCCTACCCGTGGCCTAGCCTCATTAGGCTCCTGGTCCCATTTGAGGGCTAAACGGCCATTCAGAGTAAGCCCCTGTAAGGTCGTGTTGCGCGGGGGGGGGGTGTGTGAAGTGGGGGGGAGGCTGTCCCATCAGATAGGCCTCTAAGCCAAAGAAGAACCGATTGGATTGTGACCATAGGCATTTGAGTGGAGATCGTTCAAGCTCTCCCTGGGGCCAGGCTGCCTTTCTCTTGCTTGATTTCACTAGAAAGCCAAACAGGAAGGTGTCAGCTTCTCACACCTTTAAAATTCCCCCTGCCCCCTGGATTCCCCAAACGTTTGTCCAATTTGAAACGTTTTCAAAGTGCTTTATGGAAGAATCACTGGGGGTCTCTGAAACATGGAACTGCGCCCTCACTCTCTGAGCAGTTGAATGTAAAAACTAAAGGGAGAGAAGGAGGGAGAGAGAAAGAAAAGCCACAGAAAAAGTGTTCGGGAATAGCACCTGCACTCAAAATTTTTAAATTTACCCCTTCAAGAAAAATCAAGGAATCTTTTGATATTTCCTCATCAGCCGATTATAAAATTAAATCCTTAGGGCTTAATGTTGAGGAAGGAGGAGAAGAAAGCCTAAAACTTTCTGGCTTCTTTTTTTTCCTTTCACACACACTAGATTTTCTATCCTTGGCACTGTTCTCCATCCCCATTTTAGACACCACTTGCCTGTGTGTGAATACCTCTCGGGTGCAGTTATTGTTGTGAATAAAAATTACCTTGGCAGTTTGAACGATGCCCGAGTTCAGTCAGATGTGATCTTCTTAGCAACGTTCTTATTTGGGGATAGATTATATTAAACCCGAAGATTCAAATTTGAAGAGACAAAATTACAGTAAAATGGTCTAAGAAGTAAGTGGAAAATACTTTTGAGTTTTTTACAGTTGAGGAAATGTGTGAATTGGAGACTGGGTGGTGCATACTGGGAGTGGGCTAGAGATGCTATCAGGTTCTCATGTGAAATCCAAAAATAGTTTTTTTCCCCCACAGAAAAACTATTTTCCATCAGTAACATATGTTTTAGAAAATATAATTAAATGGTACACCACACCAAATTCTGACCACACTAGATTCTAATCAATAAACAACACTATTGTCAGTTTCCAAACAACACTATTTAACTAGGCTTTACCCATTTGATGAGTAGTTCTCCTTTTAATTCCTTATCGAAAATTCCTTATCCTTTAATTCCTTATCGAAAATTATTTTTATTCAGGGATGGCACTGTTGACTTCCAGTAGACTTATTTTTTCTAAATTCGTTTACAAAAATAGCTTTTATTTACAAAACACTTTCCCCCCCTCCTTTTCAATTAACAGAAAATGTGGGGTTTGACAAACTGCAAAATTCAGGCAGGATTTTAGAGCAAATCAAATCCGCTGCTTTACATAGATTGAACTTCTGTCTGAATGTACAATTCAGCCCATTGCTTGTTTATATAGACAAAGATCACAGTCTCAGTACTGTTTGCTCCCATGTAAGAATTTTAACTTTAAAAGATTGCAAACTAAATAGGATTCATAATCCTTCTGAAAGGATTATGAATCCTCCTCCCTTACAATGGTAGAAATTGATGAGAAAAAATACTTTTATTTTTTTTTTCTCCAAAACGATGGCCCAACCCATTCTTTTAATTCATTCTCAACATATAGGTGTGGGGAAGAGGGTGTTCCTCCCACTTTTGTTACATAAGGAGAAAGAATTATTGTTGTTATTAAATATAATTAAATAAATATTATTATTTAAACTTGTATGCCAACTGACTTTCAACGATTCTGGAAAGTGGACCATCATTAGCAGGTCAGAATGTATATAGCATAATCTTAATCCTCTTTTTTTTTTTAAAGTAACACAAAACCTGCACCGGGAAGAAGTTGATGTAGACTCCCTCCAAAGTCACTTCTCAGTTCTAGGGTTGTAGTGCACACTGCTGTCAGATCGCCCAATGCAAACCACAGCGATATTTTTAAGACCACTGCCATAAATCCACTCTCTGAAGTGGCACCGTGCTCCCCACCTCCATTGCTAGGGGACGTTCTAGGCGCGAACATTTCAGGTGTGCACGCTTTTCTAGCCCTTTCCCGCGTTTTAGTTCTCGAGTAAAACGTATTCAAGCATCAAAGAAAAGCTGGGAAATCTACATATTTTTGCCCTTTATCTAGATGTACCGGTATACATTCCGAAGCTGGTTTCGGCCAACATCTGTTTTACATTCCGATTTGCTCTCGCGTCTACTGGGAGCCTTGGATTGCAAAGGCGCTGACCCGGGGTCTCAGACCGGGTGGCAGGCGTGGAAAGTCCATTCCCGGGAACGTACCTTTTGCCTTTCCTTCGTGCGCCGAAGAGCTCTCCTGCGACAATCGGGACTCGCTCAGAAAGCCCGGTTCACAAAACCAAACGAAGCAAGAAACACGCACGGGCAAAATGATTTCAACCTTGCCGCTCGCGGTCAGGGAATCAGCGGTCGGCAGTAGCCTTTCTCATCTGGCTAATTACCTCCTGCCAACGAGCCGGCAACTCTTAACCAGATCAGCCTCGGCGGGGGAAGCGACCCTGGGCACAGCACCGCTCCCCGCTGCGGCGGCCTCCGCTTTCCCCGCCGGGGCCCGCTGGAGCCGGTCCTGGCCTGGCGACCAGAGAGCCTCCTCGATGGTCGCGCCGAGGCGCTGGCTACGAGCCAAGGCGAGCGCTGGGCACCGGGCGACCCTGGCTTTTCCCTCGGGGGCCACGCGAGGCCAGCCGGTGGGGAAGGGAGGCAGGTCTGCTGTGCCCCCAGGAGCCGCCGGCGCAAAAGGCGCGAGCATTCAGCGGCAACCCCGCGCTGGGAGGTTGCTCGCCAAACTCGCCGTTTCCGCGCTAAAGAGCGACGGTTGGAGCAGGGCTGGAAGACACCCCCGTTTCCCGCTTTCCCTTCTCCGGCCTTGCGTCTCCAAGGTTTGCTCAGCTCCGTTCCAGGGCCGCCGCCTCCTCCCCGGAGGGCCCCAACGGCCCGGGCACAAGAGGGATTTCTTGTTGTTGTTAATTTTTTTTCCCGCTGCTGCGCCCTGGCGGGTGGGGGGGGGGCACGGGAGAAGCCTTGGGGCAGATCCACCTGTGGTTGACCTCCACCCCTCCTCCCCCTCCTCGCACGTGTGTCATCAAAACAAAAAGAGGGGAGGGGGGCGGGGAGCAGCCGAGAAGTAAATACTGAGTAATAAACAGCAATCAAGAGGCGAAACTGAAAGAAGCGGCCTAGTTGCTGAACGACCTTGTCAGGGTCTCTCCCCCCCCCCCGCGCCCCGCGCCCGCTTTTATTGGAAGTAGCCGGGCTGGGTGGGCTGCCGTCTGCAAGCGCACCCAAGTGGAAGGCTGGCTTGCCCGATCTTGTCAATGCCGGCGAAGCCGGAGAGGCTGCCGGAGAGTTAACTCTCCCGCTCTCCTGACAGCAGCCGCGATCTCAAGACTCCTTCCCAGTTCTCCCTGACTGCCAGCCCGCGAAGAGAGGGGTGGTCCTTACTGCTGGGCCCTTTTCCGGGCAAGCCCATCTGGGAGTCAGTCCGGGGCTGCTGCCCTTGTGTGAAGGAAGCCGCCTTTGCCCCAAGAGACTTTTTTGGAGCACCTTTTCTCCCTAGGCTGGGGATCTGATTAGACCCAGTCAAGCTTCGCCCTGTAGTCTGGCCTGGAGGCCTTCCTTCCTTCTCGGGATCAAACATCTCAAGGACGCTTGAAACAGCCTGAACTATACTGCTTTCCCACGAGAGGAAGCAAATTGCACTGATTTTGGGGACAGCCACTACCAGAAAGCCTGGGCACAAAAAAAGAGATTTACACCAGGCCCGTGTGTCCCTTCTGTGCCTGCACTGAAGCCATTTCTTAACCAAGTGCCCCCCAGATTTGTTGGCCTAATATCATTCCCACTCATATGCATTTTTGTAGGTGCTTTGTGAGGGAAAGTCCAGATAAAATAGAACTCCTATTCCTCTCCCCCCTCCCCCCCCCAAGGCGCATCTCCAGCCTGTCCCCAAATCTACTGTTTTGTCAAGGAATCTAATCCTCAGAAGAGTTGGCGGTGACTGCTGGAAAGGCAGGAAGTTACTTGTGCCATTGGAAATCCACTAAATCAGCAAAGGAGCACTCACGAGAGAGCCTCCCCCTCTGCCTCTCTGGTTTTTCTCATGAAGGAAAGTGGGGGGGGGGGAGAGAAGGGAGAGGACATTGGTTCAAAAGAATGCATGACCCAAGAGACAAAATGGTCTTAAGCATAGTGCCCCTTTCTGTTATCCCTGGGTCAGCTGGGTGAGGTCAATAATGCCTTCCATATATTCCAAGGGAGTTTCGGTGGTACTTATCCTCAGAAGTCCAAAAGCTGAACTGTGAGTGGATTTGAGGAGCACCAGTGGCAACTCCTATGAAGTTTCCATAAGAAATTTTTCCTACTCCATTCCCTCTCTCCCCCTCTTGAACAAAACAGAAACTGAATGGAAAGGCAATAGTCACCCGCAGCCCTTCAGTCCAATTTCCTTCTCTCTTTCCCTGGGCTTCTTCTATGCACAGCAACAAACGCAAGGGCTTCAAACTGGCTAAAACTGAAGTATACAAAATTCTTACTATGGAGATGAACCCAAGCTTGCACTTAATTCTCTCACCCCCAGTGCACTCAAAGGTTCTTTCTGAACCTTTCCTTTGCTCATTGTATTTTTATGTGTATTTTTATGACCCTGCATAGATTATGAGATTCTGTAAACATAGCACTCTATATTCACCATGCAAAACTGATATTCGATTCAAAATTGTTTTTAGAAGAAGCCTAAAGATTCCTGCCTCCAACACCGGTATTTAAGCCAGTCAAGAGAAAAGTTAGGATACAGCAATCCATCCAAAAAGTATACTACTGCCATCAACTCTCCCTGAATCAGGCTAGGTAAGCATGCTACTAGAGACCAGCTGAAACCAAAGATACGTGCAGATATGTGAAATCCTTCACTCAGTTCAACTAGATGCAGGACCCAGTCTTAAAAAGAGACCTCAATCAATATCAAGAACCTGTTAAAACCAAACTATTTTTTTCCATTTGAAATTTTAAGTAGGTCTATTTTGTTTGAATTATTCCAATATCTTTAGATGAAGCCATTTAAATTTTTAGCCCATTTTCTTTGGATTGTATTTAAGAACTAAAATGTAACACATTTCAAAAGTAAATAAGACTTTATCCAAAACCAAGGATAAGTTCTATAAATTCTAAATTTAAATTTCCATTTGATTCCTTTGAGATTAAATCCCATGTGACTTAATGCAATTCCCTTCAAAATAGATACAAAATAGATACAAAATACACACAGCCTCAGTGCATTGCCCTTCTGATAATTCAAATTGTTTTTTAAAAGAAACATTTAAAAAAAAATACTACAATACTGCAATGGCTTGTGATTAATTCCTTAGTGAGAATAAAAATAAAAATCCAAACAACTAAACATAGATTCAACCCTACCCTGTTTCTGAGCCCCCCTTTCTTATCTCCTTAAAGACCCCACTGAGGTGAGGCACTGGCAGATTGATCAATTCTTAATTAAATTAGTCTGAATTTATTTACTATTTGTGGCCCTTAACAGCCCAAGGACAATTGCTGCCAAGTGTTGGTTGCCTTAGATTAGATCAGGGATAGGAAGTTGCTTTCTCTTGAAAATTTACACCAGAGGCTTAGCAATAGAGCTTCTCTTCACTGCTCCTCTGACGGTAGACCAGTCCCTCTCTCCTAAAGGTAGATTGCATTGGTTGATTGGTTAGTTGTTATGGAAAAGAACTTCCTTGCTTCCCTCAAGCTCCTCTATTCAGGAATTGACCTGAAGGTGAGCAAGACTTAACCTTATGCTCCTGCAGCCATCCCCCAAGGCAATTTATTCTATTTAAGAAAGGGGGGAGGGAAGGCAGAGAAATTATGAAAAAAGGTGGGTGGGAATCCAAACCATTGGTAAGGCAAGGAAGCAGGGGCCACCTTAAGAATCAGGTAATGACCTTATGGAATCTTAAGAGCTTAATTTGGCATTAGTTTTGGTGGGCTAGAAAGGTAGGCAAGACCACAACAACATTAGAAGTCCTTAGGGTGCTTCTGTGCTCAGGTGCTTTCACACTTACATTTTGAAAATTAAAACAAAAATAACACACACACAATCCTAATAGCAGCCCCTTTGTCAAAAAGGAGGAAAAAAAGGGGGAGGGATAAACATTTAGGATCCAATCTGGGTCACTTTTAGTTAAGAATGTTTCATATAAATGAATAAACAATAAAGAGTGCTAAGGCACAAATAACTATTAGAAAGGCAAACATGCTGTAAAATGCTTTACATACTGAGAGAGAGAGAGAGAGAGGGACAGAAACATATTAAAAATGATGTACATTTTGAAAGGTGCAGTATTAGACATGCTTGCTCAGAAGAAAAAGTCCTGCACAAATTAGTGGGATTTAGTTCTGTGTAAAAGTACTGAGACATGAAATCAGAAAATGCTGCTAAAAATAGCAGGTTTACATACACCCATTATTTGTTTCTGGATCTTTTTATGACTTCTGTAAAGCCGCCTTCCTTTATGCGTCATATGGCAGTGCCTGTAAGTTCAATTAGCCAAATGCCTCCTGACCTTTAGTTCTAATGTTAGTCAATTGTGATGGCTTGTCTGCTCAGATTTTTGTGAATTTTTCTCCTAGATTCTAGAGATACAATAAACATAAATCTCAAAAATGTAACAATAATACTTCTATCCAAGCAAGTGGATGATTCAGAGCAATTTTTTTATGATCACTTTTAACTTCACCCAAAGTCTATCTGGCAGTGTATTCCATTGAAATCAATGTAAAATAGATGAACTCAATAGATTTACTTACTGATAAATGAGTTCAGCATTGATAATATAAATTAAAACTGATTTGCTAACACTCAAAAGCTTTTCAGGCAGTTACTTGGTTGTTTTTTTAATACAAAACTATTGTTTTAATTTAACACTAAAAATAATGATTCTATTAATGACTTTGGCTTACAGATTCTAAAAAAATTAATTTAAAAAGAGGGATTAAATATCCAGACATTAATGCTCTTGGTCCAATTGAATGGTAATTTATTAATAAACAAGTCAATAACTTCAAGGTTATCTTCAACAACAACACAAAGGAAAATGATAAAATGATAAAATAAGATTAATACAATCCCCCTTTTTCTTATATAATGGAAGAAAGAAAAAAAGAGCGTTTCAGGTAATTTTAAAGTCAGTTATTTTTGGGTGTTTTTTTCCTGATGGGAGAGGGGCAAACATTTTGAGTGTTTGGTCCAAACGATCCAACAACAGATTTAAAAATAAATTACTATGTTCCATTTACACTTTAAAACAAGTCTTTGCGTTATAAAACAGCCCTTTCGGGGAAAGCGAGAGAAAAGGAGAGAAAGAGAGAGAGAGAGAGAAGAACGCGTGTACTGCGCAATCCACGTTGCGTAGGAGTCAATGGGCAAAACTTCTTACTGCTTTTTGAAACGGCCCTGCGCCTCGTGAAAGAGTGGCGAGGCCCTCGTCGAAGTCCGTGGCAAAACTTCCACCCATGTTGGGAGCCACGGGGCAGTCTCGTTTCGCGGCCTGCCTTGCGCGCTCCGTTGAGGGGATGCGCCTCCTCGGTCGGCATCCAGCCGGGTCAAGCGCAAGGCAGGCAGCCAAGCAGGCTGGCGCAGGAGAGCGCGCAGATGGAAACGGGGGGCTTCTCTGGGGCGGGTGGGGTGGGGGGGAAGGCAGTTTTCAAAGGGGTGTGGGGGGGGGAAGCATACAAACTTACGTGTTATTGGTGTAACACTGTCCTTAAACAAACCGTGACTTAATCATTTATTGGGCAAATGCGGTCTTTTGCACTGCTGAATAGTTTTTTGTTTCGTTTTTTTTGCCCCCTTTGGTTTGGTGGGGAAAGAAGGCCCGGAGGGCCCAGTTGGAGTTCTTATCACTCGGCCTCCGCCGCCGCCGCCGCCTCCTCCTTCCCTTTCCCGCTCCCGGCGGTCAAAACTTGCTGCAGTCGTAGACGAAGGCGCCTGAAGGGCGATAAAGGGTTTGGCTGGCGGGAAAGGCCATTTGGCAGCTGCTGGCCGCGCCGCTGCCATTACCCGGAGAGTTGTTCAAGCCCAGCCGCTGGGAGGACTCGAACATTTCCCTCACGGCGTGGAAATTCTGCTGCTGGCCCGGGTAGCCCGCCGGGGAGGAGGAGGAGGCCGAAGTGGCCGCGGCAGCCGAAGCGGGCGCCAAATGCGTGAGCTCGCCCACCGCCGAGGCTTGGTTGAGGTACCAAGAGGCCAAGCGGCCGCCGCCTTGCGGGTGCCCCTCCGGAGGGCTCAGGCTGAGGGAGGAGGCGCTGCTGCTACTGCTGGCCGCCAGGCTGTACTCGGGCAGCGGGTCCGGCTCGACGGGGCTGCTCCCCAGATGGCCCCCGCCGCTTCGGTCCCCTCCGCCGTTGCCCCCCGTCCCTCCCCCGCCGCCGGCGGCGGCGGCGGCAGCGGCGGCGGCGGCGTAGAGACTCATGGCCTGCAAGTTGCAGTGGTAACTGCTGCTCGTGTTGGTGCCGCCGCCCGCTGGCGAGGCCGCGCTTCCCACGCTGTTGGTGGTGTTGACGCCCTGACTGCAGGGGGCGCTGTAGAGCGAGCTCTGCGCCGCGGCCGCCACCGGGGAGTAGCAGCTGCTCAGGGCCAGAGAGGCTGTCCTGGAGGTGGAGGCGGTGGACGAGGAGGAGGACGAGGAGGCTGCGGAAGAGGCGGCGGACGGCGGCAAAGCCAGGAGCTCGGCGGAGGCGCCTTGCGGCGAGCTGCGCAGGGAAGTCATGATTATGTTGTCCACGCTGAAGCCGCCGCCTCCCCCTCCCCCGCCGGGATGATGGTGCGCCGGGGGATGATGAAGGGCGGCGTGGTGGTGGGGGTGCGGATGATGGTGGTGCTGGTGCGGGTGCGGATGATGGGGATGGTGCTGATTCTGCGATTGGGACTCGGCTGCTCCGCTGGACTCCAAGCCCAGCACTCGGCCACCGCGCGGGCTGCCTCCTCCGCCGCCGCCGCCTCCCCCGCTGGAGAGGCTGCTGGTGCTGGAGCTCTCGGGGCTTTCGATCTTGGGCACTGGCGCTCCTCCCAAGGGGGACAGGGCTTGCGGGGGAGACGCGGAGCCGTTCTCCGTCTTGATGTCCTGAAGCCTGACGGGGGGAGGCGGCGGCGGCGGCTGCTGCTGGCCTCCCTCTTGCGGCTGGTGCCGAGGCGGCGGCGGCGGCGGCGGCTCCTTAAGTTGGAGGCGCTCCTTCTCCTCCTTGTCCTTAACGGCGTCTTTTTTCTTGAAGCGGCGGCGGCGGCGGAGGAAGGAGCCGTTCTCGAACATGTTGTAGGAGTCCGGATCGAGGGTCCAGTAGCTGCCCTTGCCGGGCTTCTTGTCGTCGCGGGGCACCTTGACGAAGCACTCGTTGAGCGAGAGGTTGTGCCGGATGGAGTTCTGCCAGCCCTGCTTGTTGTCCCGGTAGAAGGGGAAGCGCTCCATGATGAACTGGTAGATGCCGTTCAGCGTGATCTTCTTCTCGGGCGCGTTCTGGATGGCCATGGTGATGAGCGCGATGTAGCTGTAGGGCGGCTTGACCAGGTCCTTGGGCTGTGGCTGCGGTGGGTACGGCCCGTACGGCCTGCCTATGCCGCCCCCGCCGCCGCCGCCCCCGCTCGGGTACTGCTCATGAGCTGCTGGGTGGGTCGAGTACATGCTCATGGGGGCAGGCATGGCCGCGTAGCCCCCTCCGGCTGCCGCCCGGTAGTAGCTCTGCTCGCCGCCGAGGTAAGGTACCACTCCCAGCGAGTTAGGGCTGGAGACCGAATAGCGAGCCTGCATGGCCTCCCTTCCAGCAGTCCAGCCGGACCAAGCAGCAGCAGCAGCAGCAGACTGGCCTCCTCCTTCGCCGCCGCCTCCGCCGCCGCCTCCTCCTCCCCCGCCGCCGCCTCTTCTGCTTTCCCCCCTCCACCCCTCCGCAAATCCGGAGCCAAAAAAGTATAAACCAGGAGAGGCGACCAGGATGTTCCTTTTTTCCAAAAAGAAGAAGAAGAAGGAAAAAAAAAAGAGGGGCGAACCAACAACCCCCCCCCCTCTGGATCCTATTCGGTTTTCTCCTCTCTTCGGCTCAAGGGTGCAACAAAGAAAATGGTCTCAAAAAAATAATCAGTAAATAAAACGGCCAGCGAGGAAAGGAGGAGGGGTGAGAGGGGGGGACTCGATCTCCTTCCCTTCCCTTCCCCCTCCTCCTCCTGGTTCTTCTTAAACCGAGGCGCCGACACTCCACGGAAGCGGCCGCCGCCGAGAAGAAAAGTTAGTTACTTCCATCGAGCATAAAAATAGAAACGCGCGCCCGCGCGCACTCACAGGAGCCCACACTCCGCTTCTTGAGTTGTTTTTCCCGCGGAGCTCGCCAACAGGTTGACAAACGCTGTCCCAGCCAGGCGGAGTAAACAGCGGGGAAGAGAGGAGAGGGGAAAAAATGTGGAGGGAGAGGCCCGGTCCGGATAGTTCTCCCCTTCTCCTCCTCCTTTCTGGTCTAAAGCTGAGCTTAAAGATCCACCTTCTCGCGAACGCCTGCGGGTTGAAGCACTGCCCCGATCTCCGCCTCGGCTTCCCTCGCCCTCGCCCGGCCGCGATCTGCTCGGGAAGGCACCGGGAAAAACTTCTGAACTTTTGAGCATCCGCCGCCCAGGCAAAGACTTTTTTACGCACTCGCTGGAGTTTTTTTTTTCCTCTCCCCCTTTTCTTTCCAGGCCACGAAGCTCCGCCCTGCCCCGGACTGCGCAGCCAATGAAAAGGCGGAGGCGAGTTCTGAATGGGCGTCGGGAGAGAAATGTTGCTGCTAGTACGCTGGAAGCTGCCGCCGCCGCCGCCGCTGCTGCCCGGTGAATTACAGTTCTGAGACCGGCCACACACACGGTGGACCCCCTCATCCATCTCCCCCTCCCATACACGGCTTCTCTAGCACAGGACGTTAGGTGGATCAAATGGCAGTGTCTACTCGTCCGGAATGAAAACATGCACGCACACCCAGTCACTCATAAAACGCCGCTTTAACCACAGTAATATCTCTGTTAATACCACTAGGTATTGGGAAGGCTTTGAAGAAGATTAACCGAGCTTGCGATAGGCTCAAGGTTAGATTTCGTGGGGAAAAGAGAGATTGAGCTGGAGGGGGATTAAGGCGGTAGCAGATGATAGAGGGAAGGAATAGAGCTGTGCTGAACGTGAGAGGAATCGCCCAACCCGTTTGAAGAGGGCGAATATCTCGATTTGACCCGGTCGCAACCGTGGCGCACAGTACTGTGGTGGATTTCCAGGGCTTTTTCATCAGACTGCACCTCCTTTTTTTCCATCCCAAGGCAAGGGTTCGGAAAATGGGGATCTAACCCATCGTTTGGACGTTTAAAGTGGCAACATAAAGGACAAGCGTCAAGAGGAAACGTGTAAACGGGGACCTTAACTCTTCGCGGGTGTCCAAACAACAAGCTGAGATTTTGCTATGAATCTTGCAAAAGAAATTCACAGCTCTGAGAATCCAGCGCCTCGAATTGTCTCTTAACAAACTCGGCGACGATCTTAAATATTTTGGGCAAATGTGGATATTTATCGGCAGCCTGGATGCGAGCGAGCTCTCCTCTCATTACGGTTTGGGCAACTCAGAAGGCTCTCACTCGCCTGACATCGCTCACATTCCTCTGAGACTCTCATTCCCCCCCCCCACACACACACTTTGCTTTAAGCTTGGCGGACTCTGCTCACCACCTCGCCTGGCCTGAATGGCAGCGACTTACAGCCACCCCGGAGTTCCCACAGCTTCGTCTCAGCGCATGCCTCGCTTGGCCTGGCCTTGGGTTGCCCGAGCGATTGTCCCTGACGCTCTGATCTCCTCCATGAGGCCCTGCCAGCGGCCCTTTAGACACGCTTCCTTCTTTCCACAGCCGCCCAGAGTTTTCTTGGAGGTCACTGCTTCTCCCAGAGTCACCAGGGCTGCGGGAGAAATGGCAGATGGCCTTCCAGTCTTCCCAGATCAAGGTGAGAAGGAGAGAGAGCCCCCACCCCTTGTTCCCAGATCCCCATAACCTCACCCTTTCCTGCTCCAGTCAGCTGTCTGATCAAACTTCCAGGGATAGATTTCTTTCTTTCTCTAACGCTTGGCCAGCTTTTGACAAGTTTTCAGCGAGGCAGGCAGGCTGGATGGATTTAGGAAGACCTGTGTGTACCTAGGGTGTGTATATGCGATACACAGAAAATCCCCCCCACACCACACAGTTGCACCTCTCTAAGTTAACTTTATAAGTGGTAAGGTATTAAGCCTCTGTGTCGATCGATGTGGGAGGAGAATTTAACGAGTGTGGGGTCACCCCCCCTCCCCCAACACATTGACTTCTAATTAAATAAACCCTGAGTTGCCGGAAGGCTTTTCACAAGAATCTCTCTGGCTGGTCTTCTGTGAGGAGAACCAAGAAAGACGGCTGCTGATTTTGGGGGAGAAGGGAAGGAGAAGGACATATCTGATGGACTCCCAGTTGTGACTGCCTGGTTCTAAAGCAGTACATTTCAGGATGATTTAAAAGAAGATGGGTCAAGGAAAATATCACCCTCATGCTTGAATATATCGCTCTAGAGCAGTCTAGCAAGGAAAGTTACAAGGCTGGAGGAATTGTGTTTAGGCTTTACCCTGGCATCAGTTCTGTTACGTATTTATTTTCCCAGCCCCCTTCTTTCAGAAGAATTCTGAGAACCGCTTTTGATAGACTTTGATAGAAACACTGTAGGGATCGAAGGGAAGATGAAGAGGGGATGGACTTAAAGGCCCCCTTGCCTTAGCGAGGACAGGCCCTGGCCAAAGCCAAGAGCCCCTAAAAGCCCATTCAGGCTTCCAGATGTCCTTCTATTGATCCACACCAGCTCTGGATTTTCCAAGGTGCTCTATGGTGTGGGGCCTTTCTGAAAGAGTGACAAAAGTAGCCCAAAGAAATGTCCCTTTTGTCTCTCCAATCACAGCCCCAGGCCAGTGTTACTTTCCTGGCCTTTTAGTGAAGATTGGTTGTCCTTACAGCACCACATCTCAGCTGGACCTAACAACAGAATGTGTTTTTCCTTCCCCCAGATCCTAGCCATCTTTCTGTGACTTGATAAATGTGACTTGATTAATCATTAATAGGAACTATTTTTAAACATGCCAAGGACTGGAAGGGGGGGGGGAATGGGGGAATTCGAGAGGGGTGATATCAGCGGCTTACTTCATCCCAAGGTGTTAATTGGTCTCTTTACACAAACAGCAAATTCTGTCACCCACCCCATCCTTTTCTCTGAGCGCCTTGGAGGCTGGGCAATGCATATCCTCCAGATACTTTTCCTCTTTTACAGCAGTTCCTCTGTTACTCCAGCCGCAGCCAACTTTGATTTAAGCCTGCCCTTGCTCCAAAGAAACATTTTTGGCTGGTATTTTTTACAATTGCTCCTGAAAGCCAATTGTGGGTAGTAGCAGGGAGGGGGTGTTGGGGTGGACAGCTGAAGTGAACTGTTCCTGCAAACTCCTGGCTGGATCAAGGCTCTTGGGTTGACATTTATTTGCCAGTGAAGATTTATTTATTGCCAATATTTATTTCTTGGAAAATAAATCCCATTGAGTTCAATAATTATATTTCATTCTCCCTTCTCTCTCCCCCCATTTTGCCAATGCTATTTATTTTATTTATTTATATCCCACCTTTATTATTTTTTATAAATAACTCAAGGCAGTGAACATACCTAATTGACTTTCCTCCTCCTATTTTCCCCACACCAGCTACCCTGTGAAGGACCGAGAGAAAGAGTGACTGGCCCAAGGTCGCCAAGATAGCCAAGGTGATAGCTGGCCTCTTCAGCTTTAGCTGGCAGTTAAGCTCTGCCAAGATCCGTGGATATTATTCTCCAGCAGGGGGATGTAACTCTAGACCACCGATAGGTCATTGTCCCTTTCAATTCAGCAGAATTTACTTCGGAACCGTCTGTCTAGAATTGGGCTACCATGTTTACCGGATAGCCTTAAACTTTTAAACTTGACTCCGAATTCGGGCTGTCAAATATCGTGACATCCCCTTGTTTCAAGCTAAAGTTGCTGAAAAGCAAGGCCTCTTGGTTTGCTTCTGGGCAATCTGTGGCGGTTGTGGAAGGAACCCCTTGTGATTTGGGTGATCAGAGTCCCTGTCTCTGGTGCGATTAGGACAGCCATTCAGGAAAAAGAGACCATCTGAGTTCTCTATTCAGGGATCCAATGCCTGGTTTTTCCCCACCTGGTGTTCTCCAGATGTATCGGATTACATTTTTAAAAAAATCATCGGCATAATTCGTAAGTTTTTTGACTAAGCATGATCGGAGGATCCAACGCATTTCGGGGGCACCTGGTTGGGGACGGTTGTCAGGTCTATATTCCACTACCAGTAGATGCTGGAATCCGAAGAGATGTGTGGATGGAAAGAACGCTTTTGACTTTCTCCCCACCAGCGATGCTGAGTGCCCAGCCCAGTTCTGTCTCCCCTTTTCGAGAGTGCAGTTTTACAGATCCCTCTCCTTGACCTGCGGGCAGATTTGTTCCTAAGAAAGGCCATTCGATTTGAATAGGTCCTAAATCTAAACCGAACGTCTCAGAGTGACTTCAGCGGACAGCGCATCTTCATTCCAAATATCTGGGTTTAAGGATGGCCGGCTCGGGATTTGTTCCCCTTGTTTTACATGCTCCTCTGGCTTGGGAGCAAGATCGCGGCTGATCCTGTGAGCATCGGCTTTGACCACAAAGAAGACTCGTTTCCAGTTCAAGGGGGCAGATCTGGCTCCTGGTTCAACCGCGTTGAAGCCATAAATAAAATGGATCAAGCGAAGCGGATTGAAATTGCTGGTGACGGCAGGAATAAGGAAGGGAAGCAAATTAATCGACGCCTAAGATTTTACTTTTGCCAGTCAGACATTCCCCCCCCCCCCGAAAATATTCCCAGATCAGTTTGGAGGAGGGAGGAGGAGTGGATAACTGCTGGACATTATACTACCGGCCATTCCAGCTTTCCTTGCCCGTAGGTTTTTTGTCTGCTCATTTGTTTATTTTGAAGTCGCGGGACTACTAAGCCGGAGGAATTTGGAGTGGGGGCTTGGCTCACAAAACAATCCGCAATGAACATTCAACGACCTGTAGGCAAAACCCTTTTTTTTTGGTCCAAAATCAGTGTTGTTGTTTTTTGTTTATTCGGAGCGAATTTAGGAAGATCCGTTGCGGAGAAGGGCTTTTCCTCCCAATTTCAGCGAGATTTACTTCTGAGAAAGCGTTAGTGCTACGTGAGAAGACCCACTTCTGCGGTGTCTGCGCAGTTCCAGCCCCGCTCCTTCTGTTGCTTTACCTTTAGGGCCAATCTTCTCCTCTGAGCTCAAGAGGGATCCCAGCGGCGCGTAAAGAGAAGGGGGCGAGGGGAGGACAGTAGTGAGGGGAGGGGGGGGAATAGGATTTTACTCCCGCTGCAAGAGCGGGACGCCGTCCTTTAAAGCAACGCGCAGCGAAGAACTAAACCCCAGAAGTTCGGCTCGGAGGACTAAAGGGCGCTGGTGAGGCACAAGCAAGCATCGCTTTCCAGAAGAGATCCTACGGGGTGTGTGTTTGTGTGTGTGTGTGGGATCCGTCTGGCTAGCTCGCAACCCGAACCCTGCAGATCTGGAGTAGGGAAGCACCAGGCGTATTTGAGCAGGTGCTCCCCAAGGGAAGGTGGCTTTCTAGATCTAAGGATTACAAACGAACCCATTTAATCTGAAGGACAAACTCCCATTTAACAACCTTCCCTCGCTGATCCTGATTTCTCTCCCTCGGAGCTTGCCAGGGAGGAAGGGAATCGGAAGAAAACCAATTCGCCCCAGAAAGCTTTCATCTTCTTTTTCAGGCTTCTCTCGTTCGCGCTTCCCTTTTTTTTCCCCCTCGGTCCCAGCTTGCCTCCTTCCTGTCTGCCTCGGCTTTTCGAAGGCCAGGAAGGGAGGGAGAAGGCGGGAGAGGGTTACGCGCTGAGGGTTCGCTACCTTTCTCCAGCTTAAGGCCAGCCAGAGGAGAGAACTACAACTTCCATCATTCTCAGCCTGACGGCTGGCCTCCCGAGGGGAGCTATTGCCCAACACCTCTGGAAGGCGTTAGGTAAGGGGCATTCACAGAATCTGTGGTTCTCAGCTTTCTGCGACAACCTGTGTTGCTTATTTGAACGCGGGCGAGAAACCTAACTGACCTCAATTGGTAGAAGCAGTGTTTCTCAACCTTGACCATTTTAAGGCAGGTGGACTTCAACTCCCAGAATTCCACAGCCAGCATTGCTGGCTGTGGAATTCTGGGAGTTGAAGTCCACCTGCCTTAAAATGGTCAAGGTTGAGAAACACTGTGGTAGAGGAATACAACCCATCCTGACTTAATGACTTCTCAGGAGTAAACCCACTGAGTACTATTGTCTTTCCCGGCGGGGTAAATAATGGACCCGCGGTTCTCCTTTCAGCGGGCATTACGCGTTATCTCCTGCCCTGTCCCTTGTTCGGAAAGCTCGCCCGTGCAAGTCCAATGTTTGCATTTGTTAACAGCTGAAAAGCAACACCCAACCGCCTTAAGGTTTGCAAAAAAGGGCGAAAAGCGAGGGTAGCTGCTGGCTTATTCAGCAGTGGGGTGGGGGGGGGAAGGAGGAGAAAGCCCTCTGCACAGGCTCAGGGGCAATTCAGTCTCCCGCCAAGGGGCGGGTGTGACAGAAACTGGCTGCCTCGCTTCCGCAACTGCCCCAATAAACGCTATCTCCAAATCAATCTGGTTGTTTTTCTTCCTTGCGCATGCGTGTAGGAACCGGCGGAGGGCGCTGCGCGTCCCCTCTGGAGAACGCGAGGGATACTAGTAGCATCCAAAGCTGCCGGAGGGATCCGCCATCCGCACGCGGCCTGTTTCTTGAGCGGAAAGGAAGCTGGGGGAGAGCGGGAAGGAAAGCCACCCCTTCTTCCCGCGCCCTGATCCCCAATTTGTCGGCGGGGCAGACCAAGTGGCGCTTCCCCCAGCCTAAGCCGCAAAGAAGGCAAATATATTTTCCCCTGGGCGTTGCTCGGAAAGCAGCCTGCAGGTCCCGTTTACGGTGCAAGAAACCTGCCTTGATAAACGCTAGATAAGGTAACCCCGGGTAAGTGGGGCGTGTGGACGCCGGCCTGCTGCCTTTGGGTCTCGATCAGGCAACTTTTCTGATTTTTTTGCAGGGTTCAGAGCGCCCCCTGATGGAGCAGGTTGCAATTAATGTCGTTTTTGAACACCGGGCTTTTCTCCCACTCCGGTTGGGTGCTGTTTAGGAAAGTACAGCCAACAAGGGACTGACTTGCAAAACCAAATCCCTTCCTGCCCAAATGGCCCCCCAAGTATCAGAAAGATGAATAGTGGAGATAGGAGAAGGGGGCTGGGGGCTTGTTTTCTGCTCAGTGGTAAAGATGATAGTGGTGGTGGTGGTGATGATGATGTGCCTTGCACACTTCTGTGTTTCAGTGAAGCTTCTGGGACACAGTGATCTGCGTGGTAAAGTTGGTGGTGGCATCAGTGATGTCACATCACATACATCAAGCTGTCACTGTACAATTGATGCCCATTATGTCATCAGGCTTCCACTGGATGCCTGTATCTAAAGGCCCCGCCTAGTGAAGTCATGTTTTAGAGCGAGCAAATTAAACTTATCTCTAGAGACATTTCTATTATTGTAGCAGAAATTGAGACTTTTTCTGCACTAGGAATTTATAACCTATTCAGCCCATTGCTGGCGCAGCATAAAGCTGATCTATTAGAGATCTATAAGCACAGAGGTAGTTGAGTGATATTATAGGTTCCTAGTATGGAAAAGTCTTGTGTTTAACTTCGCAAATTGTGCTAAGTCATGAGAGTTCTTTATAGAATAGAGCTGGAAGACCTTGGAGGTCTTCTAGTCCACCCCCTCCCCCGCTTAAGCAGGATAACCTATATCAGTGGTTCTCAACCTTTCTAATGCCGTGACCCCATAATACAGTTCCCCATGTTGTGGTGACCCCCAACCACTTATACATCATGGGGCGCCAGGGGCCTGGCCAAAGAAAAAGAGGAAAAAATGGCAGACAGCCTTGTTTGGCGACCCCCGTGAAATGGTCGTTCAACCCCAAATGGGGTCCCGACCCACAGGTTGAGAACCACTGACCTATATCATCTCAGACAAGTGTCTGTCTAGCTTCTTCTTAAAAATCTCCAGTGATGGAGCACTCATGATTTCTGGAGGCAAGCTGTTCTACTGGTTAATTGTCCACACTGTCAGGAAGTTTCTCCTTTATTCTAGGTTGCTTCTCTCTTTGGTCAGTTTCCAACCATTGTTTTTTGTCCTGCCCTCTGGTGCTTTGGTGAATAACGTGACCCCCTCTTCTTTGTGGCAGCCCCTCAAATACTGGAATACTGCTATCACATCTCCTCTATTTCTTCTTTTTCCCAAACTCTCAACATCTCTTTTGTGATACGGTGACCAAAATTGGCTGCAGTATTCCAGGTGTGGTCTTACTAGGGTTTTATAAAATGGTACTAATACTTCGAGTGATCTTGATTCTATGCCTCTGTTTATACAGCCCAGGATTGTATTAGCTTTTTTGGTGGCTGCGGCACACTGCTGGCTTTATGGTCAAGTGATCATCCACAAAGAAGCAAAGCCCCATTTGTGGGATGTAGGCAGCACACAAAACCACGCCCCCTCCAGTCTGTGGAAAAACCTCTCTCCACGTAACTTGTCCCTGGTGCCAAAAAGGTTAGGGATCTCTGCACTAGGACTCCAAGGTCCCTCTCACAGTTATTGTTTTTAAGACAGGTCTCACCCAGTCTGTACTTGTTCCTTTGATTTTTTTCTGCCTAAATGTAAAACTTTGCTTTTCTCCACATTGAGACTCATTTTGTTGGATAGAACCCATTGTTCAAGTTTGTCTAGACCTTTTTGGATCCTGAGTTTGTCTTCTGGGGTGTTGGCTACTCCTGCCAGTTTGGTGTCATCTGCAAATTTGATGAGTTCTCCTTCAATTCCCTCACCTAAGTCATTTATGAAGATATTGAAGAGTACTGGGCCTAAGATGGAGCCTTGTGGAACCCCACTGCTTACTTCTCTCCCTGTGGATGGAGTGCCGTTGAGGACTAGTCACTGAGTATGGTTTGCCAGCCAGCTACGGATCCATCTGGTGGTGATGTTGTCTATGGGTTGGTGGTGCTGGTTTTAACTCAGTATGCTATGCGAACACTATTGTTGTTAGTTGCGAAATCATGTCTAACCCATCACAACCCCATGGGCAATGTTCCTCCAGGCCTTCCTGTCCTCTACCATCTTCTGGAGTCCATTTAAGCTCACGCCTACTGCTCCAGTGACTCCATCCAGCCACCTCATTCTCTGTCGTCTCTTTCTTCTATTGCCCTCAATCTTTCCCAGCATTAGGTTCTTCTCCAGTGAGTCCTTCCTTCTCATTAGGTGTATGTGAACATGGTCATCCTCAAACAATGACTAAAGACTTAGCATTAGCCTAAACCCAACAACTGTGACTTAATGTGATCAGTGATCTCAGCTGATAGGTTATAATCAGAAATCTCATTGGATTAGAGCAAAGGATCTCCAAAACAGGATATGAGGGCAACTGCAGTAGAAATCATGTCAGCGCACCAATGATACAAATTTACAAATACCACTGTCCTCCTTCTGACGCCTATTTGTACCTCTCTTCTTTTATTCCTATAAATAGGTATCGAGAGGCTACAAAATCTGATTTCAGACATAAATTGGCCAATAACTTCACTATCCATCAGTTTCTGTGATTTCTTATTCAGTTCATCCTGATTGATTTTTTTCCCCCTATGGTTAAAAACATACAGGCAGTCCTCGACTTACAACAGTCCATTTAGTGACTGTTCTAGGTTTCATCAGCACTGAAAAAAGTGACTTGTGACCCATTTTTCACCCTTATCACCCTCGCAGCATCCCCCGGGTTGCGCAATCAAAACTCAGGCGCTTGGCAACTGGTTCATACTTATGACGGTGGCAGTGTCCCCGGGTCATGTGATTCCCCCTTTGCCATCTTCTGACAACTAAAGTCAATGGGGAAACCAGACTTGCTTAACAACTGTGTGACTGATTTAACAATTGCAATGATTTGCTTAACAGCTGTAGCAAGAAAGGTCGTAAAACGGGGCGAAGCTCATTTAACAAATGTCTCATTTAGCAATATAAATTTTGGGCTCAGTTGTGGTCGTAAGTCGAGGACTACCTGTACAGTTTTTGAACCCCAGTGGCTGTGGATAAATCTCCACAGATGAGGATTACTATTAGTTCACTGTCTTTGCTGAATCTTCATTGCACAATGCGTTCTTTTTGAACATCAGAAATCCAGGTGGTGATTTTCAACCCTCCGTTCCCCAACAGGACGATGTAGCAATAAAGAATACTTTGCTCTCTGCACTGCTTTCTACTACTATTCATTTGAAAGATTTGGGAGGAGCAGGGTGGCAGTCCGAATATGATTGCAATTGCCAGGCATTTCACCTTAATGAAAATTGTGCAAACCGTTTTGATAAGTTACAAATTGCCTCTTCTATCTCAATCCCAGGGCATGCCAAGCCAACACCCACAGAAGAGACACTGAGGTCATCTCCTCATTTATGACCAGCTAAATCTTCCAAGAAGAAATGACTGGGAGGCAGGATGGGGACAGACCAAAGAGGAGCTGTGCAAAGGAAAAAAAAAAAAAGACCCATCTTCTAAATATGTAAAACCAAGATGCAATCTCTAACTCATTTACTTTGGGAGTAAGCCCCACTGAATTCAGTTTAGTTCATTTCCTGTGGCACCAGCTTGGATGGAATGGCAAAGGATTATTTTGAAACACATAAACAGTGGGATTCCAAGGTATAGTCTGTTGCAATTGTAGGGACAGCTTAAGCTAAGAAACTGGCCCATTCAGAATAGACCTAATTGGTGATAATTACTAAGGTGGTTAGCGATCTTCCCTTATCTGTAATTTTAGCGTTTCACCAAATATATTATTTGCATTTCATGGCTATTTAGGCCCGCTGTTTACACTTTTAAAAACTGATAAGGAGCCCTTTGAAAAGAAAGAAAATGTTGATCGCTACAACTGGAGGGGGGGGGGGAACTTGTCCAGACTACCATGTATAACAAGAACGGGCAACTTTTGGGTGGCTCAGACTACTAAATATTTTTGAAGGGGCAAGGACTACAATATAGGGGGACAATGCAGTATATACATATATGATCAGTATTCCCCCCTCCCTTTTTGTTTTGTTAAAGGAGGGTTGTTTTTTTTTAAATGTATGTTGCAGGTATTCTTGAAGTCCCCAGGGGTAAAAATTCTTGACTCAAGGAAACCATTTTTTAAAACCTGTTTTTGACTCCACACTTTCATGAGCTTGTTAGGCTCTGGGATCAGAGTTTGGCCACCTGTGATTTTAACTGAATCTTTTCAAAGTATATTTTGCAGAGAAGCATGCTCACTCACCTTTGTTTTTTTTTGGTTTAAAGGAATATTTGAAAACCACTACTATCTCGATTTGTCTCCTTAAATTAGCTTCTTATATAAGATAAATGGTTAAGAATGGCAACAAGAGTTTGAAGTAGTACATTTATCCCTATCAATAAAACTTCAAATTGCTGGTAGGTTATCATGTGGTTGATGGCCTGCCTATGAAAACTGGCTTCTCCCATCTATTGAAAATTACATTTCTGTGAAACAATTTCTTTCTAAATATCCTCGTACATCAATATTATATTTTTTTTATTCATTTTTGGCACAGAGGATTAAAACAGGCAGCTCCCTTTCTACAGTAAGAAAGTGTTAAATGAGAAATATAATGGAATGAATTGAAGACGATATGCTACAAAGTAAGTAGTATGAGGCTCTTGAAACTCACCTTTTGAAGGATATAGATTAAGAACTCTATTGAAGAACAATGTCACCTCATTTAAATATATTTGGACTAGGAAGCTGACTAGCAATAGCACTTAGACTTACATAGCACTTGACTATGCTTTACAGCCCTCTCTAAGCAGTTTACACAGTCAGCATATTGCCCCCAACAATCTGGGTCCTCCTTTTACTGACCTTGGAAGGATGAACAGCTGAGTCAACCTTGAGCCAATCAGGATTGAAGGAATCGAACTCCTGGCAGTGTGAGCAGAGTTAGCCTGCAATATTGCATTCTAACCACTGCTCCACCATGGCTCATAGGCCAAACTAGGTAGGCCATTGGACTATTAAATGATGGGTGTTCAAGAGGTGCTAGAATTTAGACTTTTGAGAATTTTGTACATAGCAAAGAAAACAAATGGAATATTGAATCAACCCAGAGTTCTCACTAGAGGCATAAATGACCCGGCTCAAATTACCCTACTTTGAACACATTATGCAAAGTTTACCTCTCTGAAAAATCGTCTAATTCTGGGATAGTTAGAAGGAAAGAGAAGACAACAACCACCAGCAAAGTGAATGGACTTTGATGATGGTTTATGATTGGAAAACCCGAAGGATCAAGTTAGGGATAGATGATCATGGGGAAAATTTATGTGGTTGCTAAGAGTTGATACTAATTTGATGGCACATAATAAATCAATCAAAGAGGAAGATAAAGAAATGGCAAAGAGATTGCATGAATTATTTCACTGCTGGGATATAGGATAGGTGCACCTGCCTGTTTTGGAGAGGAATCAGTTGGACTGTTACAAGAGACAAGTTATAAGCTTCAGTGACATTTTAAAACAAATAAATCCTGGATCCATCCACCATCCATTTGGGGGGTTCCTTAAAAACTAAAATGCGAAATTGCTTATAAAAATATACAGCTTCTCTTTAAGATCAGCAGCTACTCCTGAGGACTGGAAAATCGCCAAAGTGGTTGTATAAATATTTATAGAAGTATATATCGAGAAGGTTAGATAAATAGAAGTATTAATGTAAGAGAAAATTAATCTTATTGTATATAATACAGATAGGGAAATTTGGAGAGAGGAGTTGCTCGGACATTACCCCCGAATTGTTATCTGAAGAGGGATGAGAGGGAAGAAAGGAAAGGAGAGAGAAAAGAGTAAAGGAGGGGAGAAGGAAGTAGGAAGGTTGGAGGAGAAGAGGAGAAGTGGGGAGAAAGGGGAGGAGAGTGGTGAAGGAAAGAGAAGAGGAGAGGAAGAAGAGGGAAGTAGTGAAGAGAAGAAAGGGAGAAAGAAGGTAGAGAAGAAGGAGTGTGGATACAGTGAAAGGGGAAATGGGCGAGCAACACCAAAAGTCATGTGTATGTATTTATTTCATTTTATTAAAAGTATTTTATATATGAATGTAAAAATAATGTATGTTGACATCTGATAAATATCACGGTATATGTATGGGGGGAGAGTTTGGAAAAATAAAAAATTATTATATATATATATATAAAAAGAAAATCGCCAAAGTAATTCCAGTTTTAAAAAAGGGATTGAAGGAGGATATAATGAAGATATAGGCCAATTAACATTTGTTCTAGGTAAGTGTGTAAATAGTATGGTAAAAGTATATTACCGTAATTAAAAAAGAAAATAACCAAACATCTAGAAGGCTTTGCTGAGAAATAACCAACACAGCATATGCTGCAATAAGTTTTGTCTTCTAACTTATAGGTTTTTTTTTAAGAGGATCAACAAGGATGTACATTATTTGATATTAACTATTGTTTTCCTGAACTTTCAAAAATCCTTTGATAAAGCTCTTGGCTGAAATATTTTTATATGCTTTAGTAAATAGCAACGATACAAAAAACAAGTATCTAATTCATCTTTCAAATATACAGCCACTGATAAATCATACAGCAAACATTAGCAATGAACACAAACATCCTGTATATAGTATAAAATAAACATGAGGAAAATTGGGATAAGAGGACAGCATTGAAGATAAAAGAACAGAAAACTGTTTACAAAACAGGACATTGAAAAAGGGAATAAAATTACATTTTTAGAGAGTGCTACCAAATGGGGCTCTCCATGGTTGGAATCAGAATTTTTTTTAAAACTTGCTTATACATAATTTGATGTTATAGGGCAGGGCTCTTCAAACTTGGTCCTTTTATGACTTGTGGACTTTAACTCCCAGAATTCCTCAGCCAGGCATACTGCCTGAGGAATTCTGGGAATTGAAGTCCACAAGTCAAAAAAGGGCCAAGTCTGAAGACCCCTGATATAGGGCAATAGCGAGAGATGATATAAAAAATTGGGGATAGAAAAATCCAAAGGGGATTGCACTGCTGTTGTTGGAGGCAGAAGGGTAGGAACCGCAAGAGAAATACAGCAGACGATTGTTGTGAGGTAACTGAAGTAACTTCACCCTATGGCACAATTCAGGAGGTATTCCAATAACAAGAGCAGGAAAGAACCAAACACATAACCAAAAGTGCTATTAAGAGCCACTAAATCACCCGAAGGTATCTCAATTAAGCAGATTGCAATCTTCACCCTGCTGCAGCAATTGCTATTAAGGATCATGGGCAGTTTGACTGAGCTGTTCTAATTAGACAGATTGCCTGATAAGGCACGTTTAAATGAAGCAAGCAAGCTGAGCCGTCTTTTCTCCGGCTTCCACTTGCTGCCAGGCGTTGTCTCTCTGTTTTTGCACGTTCTGTATTTTACCCTGTGGGGTTGCACTGCATTTACTTGGGCCTTTGTTTCTGCAGATAGGTGGAAAGGGTCCTTCACTTGGGTCTTGGTGAGGACTTCCAGGCCCACAGAGGCAAGAATAGCACCATCTGGTTCAAGAAACCATGTTGATGGCCAATGGCCTTTTAAATATAAATCATCATCTCATCAAACAGCTACTGGAGCTCTTCTTTTGCATTGGAAGATTTCATGTCTTGCATTAGCTGGTGATCTCATATTATTCCTCTGAATTAAAAACAATACTTTTTTTTTTTAAATGCCCTTTCCCCATTTTCAGTGGAAAAAGAAAAGAAATATCTGCTGAAAAGTTGTAGGTCATAGATTTTCTATCTATGGTTTAAAGTGTTTGTAGACTAAACTCTAGAAATGCATGATGACTCTTTACATTTCCAATTAATTCCCACTGGATCCCCCTCATATTCTTTCCCCCTTGACCATTCTCATTTGGACTTGTGGGAATTATGATATTAAAAAAAATAGCTGCAGCATCACTCCTGCTTTACACAAAGTCTTTCTCTGTTATGCACATTTTAAGATAAAACATTTCAGAAAGTAGCCTAGAAACAGTATGTCTCTAAGAATTTGTTCTGGAATATAGCTAGTCTTTTAAATACCATTTTTAGAATAAGTGACCGGAGTGAGGATTGCAGTCTTGCAGAACCAATACTGAAAACAGTGATAACATTTCCACTGGAATAATAAAGCCTGGATTCTTTTTCCTTGATCTTATTCATAATTTTCATTTAATTTTTTTTAAAAGTGGGACAGTATTTTGATAAACTAGCATAGTGTCATCAAAACCAAACTTTGAGATAATTTTGTTCCAGATTTTGTCCTGACTGAGCTTAAGAATTTCAGTTGGACTTCCTTTGCTATTTCAACATCGATGCTAAATATCCATATTCAGTCTCTTCCATTTGTTCAGTCTAGTTATAAACCTGATCCCCAGCCTAGAACTCATTAAATCCAGCTACTACTTTAAGGCCAATTTTTGCAGGAAGATCTACATTGGAAAGTTGCACAGCAAGCAGGTAAACAGTG